CCGTTCAAGTGCACCCGCTTAGCACTGTATCCATGCCAGGCACATGGTAAGAACACCCGTTCAAGCGCACCCGCTTAGCACTGTATCCATGCCAGGCACATGGTAAGAACACCCGTTCAAGTGCACATGCTGAGCACTGAATCCATGCCAGGCACGTGGTAAGAACACCCGTTCAAGCGCACCCGCTTAGGTTCAAGTGCACCCGCTTAGCACTGTATCCATGCCAGGCCCATGGTGAGAACACCCGTTCAAGTGCACCCGCTTAGCACGCATGCGTGCAAGGCACATGGTAAGAACACCCATTCAAGTGCACCCGCTTAGCACTGTATCCATGCCAGGCGTGGTAAGAACACCCGTTCAAGTGCACCCGCTTAGCGCTGTATCCATGCCAGCCACATGGTAAGAACACCCGTTGAAGAGCATCCCTGCCAGGCACATGGTAAGAACACCCGTTCAAGCGCACCCGGATGGCACTGTATCCATGCCAGGCACATGGTAAGAACACCCGTTCAAGCGCATGCGCTTAGCACTGTATCCATGCCAGGCACATGGTAAGAACCCCCCTTTCCATGCCAGGCACATGGTAAGAACACCCGTTCACGTGCACCCGCTTAGCACTGTATCCATGCCAGGCACATGGTAAGAACACCCGTTCAAAAGCACCCGCTTAGCACTGTATCCGTGCCAGGCACATGGTAAGAACACCCGTTCAGGTGCACCCGCTTAGCGCTGTATGCATGCCAGGCACATGCTAAGAACACCCGTTCAAGCGCACCCGCTTAGCACTGTATCGATGCTCGAGTGCGCGCGCTGAGCATCCATGCCAGGCACATGGTAAGAACACCCTTTCAAGTGCACCCGCTTAGCACTGGTAAGAACACCCGTTCAAGTGCACCCGCTTAGCACTGTATCGATGCCAGGCGCAAGGTAAGAACACCCGCTCAAGTGCACCCGCTCAGCATTGTGTCCATGCCTGGCAACATGGGAAGAACACCCGTTCAATCGCGCCCGCTTAGCGCTGTATCCATGCCAGGCACATGGTAAGAACACCCGTTCAAGTGCACCCGCTTAGCACTGTATCAATGCCAGGCACGTTAAGAACACCCGCTAAAGTGCACCCGCTCAGCATTGTGAACACCCGCTCAAGCGCGCCCGCTCAGCACTGCACACATGCTTGCCAAATGGTGAGCACACCCGCTCACCTGCACCCGCTCAGCACTGCGTCCACGCCTGCCAAATGGTAAGCACGCCCGCTTACGCGCGCCCGAAGCCCGACCGAGACCCCGAGACCCGAGATCCGAGACCCAAGACCCGAGACCCGAGATCCGAGACCCGAGACCCGAGACCCAAGACCCGAGGCCCGAGACCCGAGCCCGAGACCCGAGACCTCGAGATCCGAGACCCGAGACCCCAGACCGAGACCCGAGACCCGAGACCCGAGACCCGAGACCCGAGACCCAACACCCGAGACCCGAGACCCGAGACCCGAGACCTCGAGATAAAAGACCCGAGACCCGAGACCCCGAGACCTGAGACCCGAGACCCCGAGACCCGAGGCCCGAGACCCGAGCCCCGAGACCCGAGACCCGAGACCCGACACCCGAGACCCCGAGACCCGAGACCCGAGACCCCGAGACCCGAGACCCGAGACCCGAGACCCGAGACCCGAGACCTCGAGATCCGAGACCCGAGACCCGAGACCCCGAGACCCGAGACCCGAGACCCGAGACCCGAGACCCGAGACCCGAGACCCCGAGACCCGAGACCCGAGACCCCGAGACCCGAGACCCGACACCCGAGACCCGAGACCCGAGACCCGAGACCCCGAGACCCGAGACCCGAGACCCAAGACCCCGAGACCCGAGACCCGACACCCGAGACCCGAGACCCGAGACCCGAGACCTCGAGATCCGAGACCCGAGACCCGACACCCCGAGACCCGAGACCCGAGACCCCGAGACCCGAGACCCGAGACCCGAGACCCGAGACCCGAGACCCGAGACCCCGAGACCCGAGACCCGAGACCCGAGACCCGAGACCCGAGACCCGAGATCCGAGACCCGAGATCCGAGACCCGAGACCTGAGACCCGAGACCCCGAGACCCGAGACCCAGAGATCCGAGACCCGAGACCCCGAGACCCGAGACTCGAGACCCGAGATATGAGACCCGAGACCCGAGACCCCGAGACCCGAGACTCGAGACCCGAGATATGAGACCCGAGACCCGAGACCCGAGACCCGAGAAGTGTCGGGGAGCCGCGGGCCCATTGTCAAGTTCGATCTCGAATACATGAATGAATGAATGAATGAATGAATGAATGAATGAATGAATGAATGAATGAATGAATGAATGAATGAATGAATGAATGAATGAATGAATGAATGAATGAATGAATGAATGAATGAATGAATGAATGAATGAATGAATGAATGAATGAATGAATGAATGAATGAATGAATGAATGAATGAATGAATGAATGAATGAATGAATGAATGAATGAATGAATGAATGAATGAATGAATGAATGAATGAATGAATGAATGAATGAATGAATGAATGAATGAATGAATGAATGAATGAATGAATGAATGAATGAATGAATGAATGAATGAATGAATGAATGAATGAATGAATGAATGAATGAATGAATGAATGAATGCATACATCGATGAATGAATGAATAAAGAAATACATAAATGAATGAATGAATGAATGAATGCATGAATGAATAAATGTATGTATGTATGTATGTATGTATGTATGTATGTATGTATGTATGTATGTATGTACGTGTGTATGTACGTCATTCTGTATGTATGTGTGTGTGTGTGTCTGTACGTGTGTGTTTGTATGTGTGTATGTGCGTGTATGTATGTATGCATGCATGCATGCATGCATGCATGCATGCGTGTATGTATTAATGTACTCTATGTCTGTATGTATGTATGTAATGTAATGTAATGTAATGTAATGTAATGTAATGTAATGTAATGTAATGTAATGTAATGTAATGTAATGTAATGTAATGTATGTATGTATGTATGTTTCTACGTATGGATGTATGTATTCTGTATGTATGGATGTGTATATGCATGTATGTATGTATGTATGTTTGTATGCATGCATGCATGTATGTATGCAGGTAAGTATGTAAGTAGGTATGTAGGTAGGTAGGTAGGTAACGGTATGTATTTATGTATGTATGTATGTATGTATGTATGTAGGTAGGCAGGTATGTAGGTAGGTAGGTAGGTATGTATGTATGTACCAGAAATACATAAATAAATACATAAAAGAAGAAAACAAGACACGGCCTAGACCGCGCGGACCGGTACTAGGTCATTTGGCTTCAGTGATTGTGCGGGCGTGTTTATCTTTTTGCGGGTGCGTTTTATTTCCCTGCACTTTCTGCTTATTTTTGCGCACGCATTTGCATATGTCTGATCTTATTGTTTTTTATTTCCCCGCGAGCACTTTTATTTCCTCGCGGCATATCCCCCCTCGAAATATTCGAGACTATACAAAGACTCTGCACAAGCGGCGAAAACATGGCTGAAACCGTTCGATCCTAACATGCGCAGCTCCTGCCTGAAAATATCTCGAACGCTGCAGGTGACCCGCCACAGCCGCATGTAATAATCTGACATCAAGGCTGTGTAGCCCAGCAATGCCCTGGGCAAGAGACGAGGCGGTATCAGGCAGAATCTCAGAAGCGATCCGAAATGAGAGTTGTTGCAGAATCATCGAAGCACAAGACTCACTAGACAAGTAGACAACTTGCCACTGACAAACACATAAAGCGGCCAGGATCACCCACTCCTTACAGAACTAGGAACAAGGAGCCATGCCTCTAGACACGCGCCACCTCGCCGGGGCGCAATTCATTCTGCATCATGTTTCTGAAAGTCGGCTTCCTCAGATAGGCCCCGCTTTGGCCCATGCAACGCTTCAAGTGCGAGAGATGATCCCTGAAACTGCATGGATATGTTGCAAGGGGCCTGTCTGCCTTCTCCTGAAGGATACACCATTGCAATTGGTATCAAATGGTCCATCCTGCATGGACTCTCTGGGTGGTTTGCCTTATGTTACAGTTCTAGAGCATGCTCGTCCAGTCTGTATCTGGCTCATGAGTACTCTTTCTGCGATGCTGCATAGGCTAGTCACGGCACGGGAGAGTCCCCCTGCCCCACACTCGACAACGAACGGAAGGTCTCAAAACTGATCAAGTATGGCGTAGCACTTGCAGCTCGTGACTTTGGAGCGCAACGAGCTTCCGGTTTGGCCCAGTCAAAGGAAAGGGCGGCGAATAGCCACCAGCGGATGCTTCCACAAGCGTCATGGAACAGTCACCGCCTAAGCAAAGAGACACGAAGAGCTGGAACAAGCCCCGCACGATGTTTGCTCTCACGCTTCAAGGCCAGACATTACAATGGGTCAAAACAAGAGGCCTCCGCCCAGCCGTGGCAGCAAATGGAACTTGATGTCCACTCCTGGCAGCTGAGCCGGATGATTTGTGGATTCTGTTCGCCTGTGCATACCATGACTATGACTGATCCTCGGTCGAAACCACGGTCGTTGTTAGAACATAGCTGACATTGATGTTCAGTTTAGCAAGCATTCAGAAGGGAATTGTTGCTTGGGCAATCCCCAAACTCCCACCAAAGGCAACACGTTGCCCATCTTTGCCTGGACTGTCAGACTTGCAAACGGCAGGGCTCGCCGCGGTGCAGCTTCTGTGCAGGCCTGCCTCGTCTTGCTTGCCAGGATAATTGGAGGATGGCACTGGAGAGGACCTTGCAACAGCGCAAAGAGAAGCGAAGCAAGGAAGTGCGCCTGGGCAACCAAAATGAGAACCCGCAAACTGGACCATGACGGCCACGGCGATGACAGCAAAATGACGAAATGACAAAAACGGCCAACACCATCATAACAACCCCAACTACGAGCCCGACAAGGTCAATCACCACTCTGGCCACAACCACGCGACTACAAGACCATGTCCACAATCACGGCTGCGCAAGGAGATTGGAGGAGATTGGAGGAGGAGATTGGAGGAGGAGATTGGAGGAGGAGATTGGAGGAGGAAGCAGAGAAACCGACAGACATGTCCGGCCTTGGTTCCGTGGCCGCAAGCCTGGACCAGCGCATTCTCAGCTGCCCAATTCAGCCTGCCTTGGCCAGAGGTGAAATCAGGAACGTTCATGCATATTCATGCCTTCCAGCAAACACTCTCTGGAGCAAACAAACGCCCGGCAAAAAGAAGTCGACCAAAAATGCTCTGCAAGCCTTGCATCACCACCAAGGTGCTAACGATCTCGGGGGAGATAGTGCCATTGAGGCTGATAGTCCCGCTGACCACATGCTCGCTTGTTGCCAGTTTGTTCGTAGGAGTGTAGGAGAAATCCAGGCGGTCCTCCTCTGCGGCCTGACATATGAGCTGCTGAGAGAGGGGAAACCTGGACCCCGGGATTGATGAAACAAGTGTTTGTTTTCCTTGGCTTGCCATGAGCACCACACATTCGCGGCGCATGCTCCGGACGACCGAAACCTCACCCCAGCCTGGCTCTTCACTGCATAAATGGTTGAGAGCAGCAGCACGACACGCATCCGGCCCAGGCCTCAAGACTCGTAGTCATGTCATGCCTGGAGCCAATGCGACGGCATTCCGCATGCAACGTCAAGTTTCAGACATTCGTTTGAAGCATATATCACATGGGACTGTCGTCACGGCTCGCTTTTGCGCCTCGCCTTGCCGGGTCGAACTTCCTGCTACCAGGGCAGACCCAGGCGCTGCATTAGCGAAGAGAGGAATTGCCGTCGCGGGGCTTCAGCAGGCCTCACAAAGAAAGTCGGCCTTCCTCCTCCACTCGCGATCTGGAAGAAGATGACTCAAAAGCACCTGAGTGAGACTGTCCTTTGCCTTTGAACCCTCAGCCTGCCATTGAGCATCCTGACCGAGTCAACACAACCGTTGATAAACCTTGGTTTCAATCGCATGATGTCCAAAAGGCGGCCAATGTTCGTCTCACGCAGCGTCCAATCTGCAACCAAAGCTCTGAGATGACAGACTTGATGCCGCTGCGCGTCCCCGTAAAAACTAGAGGACGAGTGGCCCGGAAGCATAGAGGCAAGTTAGTTGTTAGCGATCAAGTAGTCTAGTCGCGACAAGCTGCACACAGACAGATTCCGCTTTTTGTCAGTAGCTCGAGTATGGTACTAAAAGTTGAGGAATTTCATGCACTTCTCAGTGCAGGTTCTCCCTGCTCATCGCGATCTTGCCCACCATCATGTCGCGCGTGTAGATCGAGTGGCTCGGCATGTGGATCTCGATGATGCATACCATGCTTCGGGCGGCTCCAACATGAACAAACAGGCAGCAAGCAAACTACCGCGATGTTGATTTTTTGCCGCGCTAGCTTGAACCAACCACCAGGCGCGTGGTGCGGAAGGCGAGGCGGGGGAGAACCGTCAACAAAAACAAGCGCTTTTCCTCTGTTCGCGCGAACACTGTTGACAAGAAACAAGTGCTTTGGAAAACCATGACAAAAACATTCTTTCGAGCAAGCCCTCCTCTGTCCGCTACGCGCGCTGAAAGACACGCTCCGGTATCTCAAGGCTTGTCGTGAACAAGTGCCAAAAGAGCTAAGCAAGAAAACTAAACTTGTGGGGTCTACTTGTAACTGCGAAACCATGCCTCTGCGTCAGGTCGCGAACGTAGAGCTGCAACCACGGCTTCAAGCAGCTGGCTCTTGGAAAGCCGACTACCAGATGCGGGATCCCTCTGCTGCACGCCGAGGCCAGCTGCGAAGGCACGAAGCTTGTCCAGCTTCATCGAGCCATCCAGCTCAGCATGGAGCCAGTCTTGACCATGTACTGCTGCTTCAGCCCGTAAATGCTCAGCATCAGGAAGAGCATCCAAGGGATTCGCAGCCTGCTGCGCGCGCTGAAAGACACATGGTGGAAACCAACAGCGCAAGCCAAAAGTGGTAATTCCAAGAAACCAAGAGGGGTATGCGAAACAATCGTGCGCTCTCGCATGCCAACGTCCAGCCTGCGCACGTCGCTGGCAACCAGAATCCGACATGGCAACACGACACGTCGGAAATACCCGCCAGCGCCGCGCGACTCTGATATCTTCTGGCTACCCGCTGTGTGTAACTGCTTTGACAAGATTGGTGCGCCAAGGAAACGAATCCGCACTTCGGAAGATGCGATCTGAGCGATGACACCTTCTACAGTACTAACACGGAGGATTGCCTTGAGCATGAATGCACGTGCAAGCAGCAATGACAAGCGACAGCAACCTCATGGAGCACCCCTCCAAAAAATGAAGCATAACACCAACACAAAGAAGCCGTGTCGCCCTAATCAACTGTCGCCGCAAACATTCTCTGGGCAAGCTCCGCTACTGAGACACTCATGACATCCAAGCTTCGGCTACTATTGCTCTTGTCAGCTGCCTATCACTCCAAAATCCAACTGCGCATGTTTATTTTACAAGCTAATTACAAAAGCCAACTGCCCAATCTCACTTCACAAGCCAATGACAACTGCCAACTGCCCAATCTCACTTCACAAGCGAAATGCACTGTCCTAAAACACAAGCCAAATTTTCGAGTGTTACGTCACTATCCTAAAGCGCAAGCTAACTTCTCGGGCGTTTCTTCGGCATCGTAAAGCGCAAGTATTCGTTTTCAGGCGTTACATTGCAAGCCGACTTTTCCTTTTCTACCTTCTCTTCTCGATTCTGAGTTCTTTCTTCTTTTTCCGGCGGAGCTGGGGAGACGCTCTCCGCGCCGAGATAGGTCCGCAAGTGCTTTGTGCAAGTGCTCTGTGCAAGTTGCTCTGCGCAAGTTGCTCTGCGCAAGTTGCTCTGAGCAAGTGCTGCCGGAGCTGTGGGAAATAGTTAACTTCGCGGTACGTTTGTACTTAAAATTGCGATTTTTTTTGTACTTAAAAGTTGCGATTTTCCAGCCGGAGCTGCGGGAGCACGCTCCGCATACTACGTCTGTACTTAAAAGTTGCGATTTGCCAGCCGGAGCTGCAGGAGCACGCTCCGCGTACTACGTCTGTACTTAAAAGTTGCGATTTGCCAGCCGGAGCTGCAGGAGCACGCTCCGCGTACTACGTTTGTACTTAAAAGCTGCGATTTTCAAGCCGGAGCTGCCGCGGACCAGGGGGGAATCGAACCCGAGACCGCGGGATTGCGAAAGCAGGCGCGCAAACCACGAGACAACTTCCAAAGGCCGTTTCGCGAGCAAGAAAATCGCACGGCGCCACAGCGAGAGCGCTTCGACACGCACGATCTCCGCAGAGGGTTCATCGGGCTCAAGACAGATGCGCACGGCGCCACAGCGAGAGCGATCCGACACGCACGATCTCCGCAGAGGGTTCATCGGGCTCAAGACAAATTCGCACGGCGCCACAGCGAGAGCGCTTCGACACGCAGGATCTCCGCAGAGGGTTCGCCGGACCAAGACAATTCGCGCGGCGCCACAGCGAGAGCGCTTCGACACGCACGATCTCCGCAGAGGGTTCGCCGCGCAAGACAAATTCGCACGGCGCCACAGCGAGAGCGCTTCGACACGCACGATCTCCGCAGAGGGTTCGCCAAGGTCAAGACAAATTCGCACGGCGCCACAGCGAGAGCGCTTCGACACGCACGATCTCCGCAGAGGGTTCGCCAAGGTCAAGACAAATTCGCACGGCGCCACAGCGAGAGCGCTTCGACACGCACGATCTCCGCAGAGGGTTCGCCCGTCAAGACAAATTCGCACGGCGCCGCAGCGAGAGCGCTTCGACACGCACGATCTCCGCGTTCATCGCTCAAGAAAATTCGCACGGGGCCACAGCGAGAGCGCTTCGACACGCACGATCTCCGCAGAGGGGTGCGTTTCGTAAGCTCCCGTCGGGCCTACCCCCGCCATAAAAAGAAGAAGAATTAAGAGTCGAGAAGTGAAGGTAGAACAGAAAAGTTAGCTTGTGTTTTTAGGATAGTGAAGTAACACCCGACAAATTAGCTTGTGCTTTTAGTAGAATGAGATAACAGCCGAAAAGTTGACATGAGAAGTAGGCAGGTGAAGTAACTCTCGACAAGTTGGCATGAGAAGTTAGCAGGTGAAGTAACTCTCGACAAGTTGGCATGAGAAGTTGGCAGGTGAAGTAACTCTCGACAAGTTGGCATGAGAAGTTGGCAGGTGAAGTAACTCTCGACAAGTTGGCATGAGAAGTTGGCAGGTGAAGTTGGCAGCCGCTTTTAGAAGAAGAACCCTTCGCAATGCTTCCGGGAAAAACAAAGACAAGGAATGCACAAAAATGTTAGACATCGAGCAGACGCCTCGACCCTTGCTTGGATCACGCTCCAGGGCACACGCAATGAGTGCAACCTGCAAGTGCCTTGCCAGAGCCTCAACTGGCTGCAAATCCACACTGCCAGGAACTGCAGTTACATCTTTGCCAGCGCGAGGCAACGATGCTTCAAACTCACCAAAGGCCGATAAACACGGCGTCGTCCATGCGATGATCTGCTGCTTGATCTGTGCCTCGCTGCAGTGGCGACCCGCCAAGCGATCTTCTGCCATCCCTAAAGCCAAGCCAAAAGACTGGCGCGACGCTGCTTGGAGGGCAGCTCAGTCTCGAGCAGCGCAGCATCAACTGGCAGACCAGCGCGGTCGGACCGCACGCATGACCAGACCCAACGCCAGCCGCGCTCAGGGAAAGCGTCGTCTGCAAGAACATCACGGCCAGCCGCTGACGCAGCCTACCACAACTGATAGACCGAAACTAAAGAAAACCTTGCCTCAGGCTGAGATTAGCCAACATGATGCTAGGCCCGGAAGCATCACATAGTTCTTGAACACGCACAAAAGAGTAAGGCGACCAGCTTCTTACATTCAGGGAAACACTGTTGACCAAAGCAATCTTTCGAGCAAGCCCTCCTCTGTCCGCTACGCGCGCTGAAAGACACGCTGCGGTACTAAAGGCTGGTCGTGAACGAGTTGAGCATTGAGGGTGCCAAAAAGAGCTAAGCAATAAAAATAAACTTGTGGGGTCTACTTGTAACTGCGAAACCATGCCTCTGTGTCAGGTCGCGAACGTAGAGCTGCAACCACGGCTTCAAGCAGCTGGCTCTTGGAAAGCCGACTACCAGATGCGGGATCCCTTTGCTGCACGCCGGGGCCAGCTGCGAAGGCACGAAGCTTGTCCAGCTTCATCGAGCCATCCAGCTCAGCATGGAGCCAGTCTTGACCATGTACTGCTGCTTCAGCCCGTAAATGCACAGCATCAGGAAGAGCATCCAAAGGATTCGCAGCCTGCTGCGCGCGCTGAAAGCCATCCCCAGAACTCGCAGCAGCTGTGGAAGACGAAGTTGCCTGCGCTCTTACAACATAGTTCTTACACACGCACAAAGTGCAAGGCGACCAGCTTCTTACATTCAGGGAAACACTGTTGACAAAAACATTCTTTCGAGCAATCCTCTGTTCGTGCGAACACTGTTGACAAGAAACAAGCGCTTTGGAAAACCATGCCTCTGCGCTGGAAGGAGGACACAGAGATTCGACCAAGACAGCAAGCAGCTGGCCCTTGGTGCGCTGCTGGCCAGACGTGGGGTCCCTCTGCGAAACGCCTAGGCCGGCTCCAAAGGAGCGAAGCCTTGCCGCCGTCATGGAGCCATCCAGCTCGGCCCGGAGCCAGTCAGAACCTCGTGCTTCTGCTTCGGCTCGCAAGTGCTGCGCATCGGGAAGACCATGCCCAGAACTCGCTACAGCTGTCGAAGACGAAGTGGCCTGCGCTCTTATCACATAGTTCTTGAACACGCACAAAAGAGTAAGGCGACCAGCCTCTTACATTCAGGGAAACACTGTTGACAAAAACAATCTTTCGAGCAAGCCCTCCTCT